ACCTCTGCAGTACAGCAGTTTACTGTAGTGCCACTGACAGTTCATGGTGGTGGGAAGAAGCTGTTCTGGTTTCCGTCAGCAGTTTATGTTCTGGGTGTCTGCACTGACTTCCCCCCCCCCGCTCTCTCTTGACTGTGGAGGTGTATTAGTCCTGGAGGGGTCGACCCCAGACGTGGCGCTGTGAGACGGGTAGATTACAGGATTAAGCTGCTTTAGCCCTCATTATTTGATGAGGAGGAGGAGGATGAAGATCTGTGTGTTTATTGTGCGTGAGACGGAGCAGGAAGCCAAACTCTCTCCCATATTTCACCTTTTATTTACAGTGAACACATGAACTCACCAAGGAAACGCAGGCCGTAACAATGGTTGTCCCCCACACAGGAAACAGAAATATCACACAGCAGCTGCCCCCCCGCATGCAGCACTCTGCCCCGAGTTCAGCCTCCCAGGCAACACACCGCTCTGTTTGTGTGCAACCGGACAGTCCACATTTAAAGCTGGAATATGTAACAGTGTCTCACACACACTGAGTCCAACAGTCTCTGCAACCTGTCCACTGTAGTTACAGCCAGCGCCCTGTCCCGCCTGCAGCCGGTCCAGAGCCCTGTAGCCGGTCCAGAGCCCTGCAGGATCCAGACAGGTCCAGGAAGAGATATTCTCCATATCCTGGCCTCTCTGCTGGCTGCTGGTACGATTCAGAGTTATACCACAGACCTCCTGACCCCTTATACCCTCGGCTGACATCAGGCTCCTGTTTCTGCCCCCGGACTTTGACAGCGTCCTCCCTCAGATCAGATCAGCCCCCTTTGTTAACTGAGTTCTCTAAACAGACTTTTATTCTCTCGGTTTGAATCCTCCTGATGTGTATTCTTGTACCCGCTCTGGTCTGTGCAGCACTGTGGTCAACGAGGGTTAAAATGTGCTTAATGAAAACATTTAATTTAGACGTCATTAAACCCCCATAGCATACAAACATTTTACATACATAATTGATTAATTAATTTCTCTACAAATAAAGTGTTGCTGTTCCGTATTGTCCATCCTGTGAGACGAGCGAACAGCCTGTCAGTCAGAGCTCAGGGTAAACAGATCCAAATACCTCCAACTGACCTCTGAGCTGCTGTAAGCCAGTGACTGGGCGCCCCCTGCTGGGAACCAGTGCTGTAAGCCACCTAGTGGACCCCAACGTCCACCTTCACTCAGCAATGGAACTGATCTCATTATTTTTAACTGTAAACTGGGCTGATTATAGTTATTGATCTTTTGTAATCTGATTATTGTTATTTATTCAGAGGACTTTAGAAACCAACATTTGATTTTTCCAGAGGGCTAAATGATCTGTAACCTCTGGAACCGAATATAGACCTCTGCTGAGCCGCCATGGAGCTTTAGACGTAATCAATAAAACCTTAAACTCAGTTCTAAATCCTACTGGAGGTTAAAACTGATCATATTTATTGATTGTGGATAAAAGCAGCGGCTGTACAGTCGGAGGCGATCAGTTTTGGTTCAGGCATGGTGAGATGATGGATCTGAGTACATGTGACACACTACACTTTGTTGATTGATTGATTTATTGATTGATTGATTGCTCTGTTGCAGGTGAGCTGCTGAGCCAGCCGCGGCCTGAAGGTCTGACCGAGATCATCTGTCCAAAGAACGGTTTGGAGCGGGTCAACGTGGCTCTGGTTTACCCCCCGACGCCCACCGTGGTCAGCCCCTGTCTCAAGTGATCCGTGGGGCCGGAGCCTGGCTCGCCTCGCTGTCTCACCAGAGCCTCCTCACCCCTCCTCACCCCCGAACCGACCCCCGGCTGAAGGCTGGATCACTGCCTCGTACGTACGTCCTCCACACTGCCGTCTCATGTTCTGTACCTCCAGAATCCAACCTACGTGTTGACTCCTCTGTTGCAGGTGGATCCTTAAGCAGCTTGATGAGCACAAACTTCAGCCACAGTAGCGTCTCCACTGACCCACCGCGTCTCCACACGTCTCCACACGTCTCCCAGGGTCTCCTCTGCTTTTTAATCTCAAAGACTCGAGGACGTTTGAATCATTTCTAACATTTATTGAGGAAAAACATGTTTGTAACTGTGAGGAGCTTGTTTGTAATAGTGGGGCAGATTCCCACCTGAGAGGACTCTGAGATCAGGACTGAAACATTGGACTCCATACGTAAAGGACGACCTGAGCGGGACGAGAAGAGCAGCTGTTTCCATGTGTACATATTTGTCTGTGCCTGAGGCGACCTGAAGCGTGCTGGAGCTGTCGCTGTGTCAGCTCGTATAAATAAATTCTCTTTCCACTGGACGTCGCACCAGCATCTCCGACCAAAACCACCAGACTCCACTCACAAAAACACTCATTTTAACAGAAATCAAACTCACCTAAAGGATCTTTGTTAGTCCGTCCAAAGACCACATCAATCAGGTTGAACTCATTTTAAACTACCCAACAGTTTAGCAATACTAAACTAGTGAGATACTGTGTGACACAGCAACAGCTCCACTGTAAGAGAGCAGCAATCTGACTCCTCTTCCTCTACAGAGGTTGGAAGTGATGATGTAAAGTTAACAGACGACCTGTAATGGCGAGGTGCTCAGATATTAATAAAATGAGTGTATATATA